AGTCTCGACTCAATAGCGATGGAATGGTTGAAGAACTTCCCTTATTCGAGATGTTCTGTATGATCAAGATAGACTTCTACGAGAGAAACTTTTTTCGAGTCTCGAATGTCCCACAGGATTACTCTAAAGCAAGAATATTTTTCGAAATAATTATAAGCTTTTAATGAAATAAACTTCGATAATTCATTAAGAATTTCATGTCTTTTTTTGCAAACAAATCCCAAAAAAAGAAGAAGAAAAAAGCAAAATTTCATGCATTTATATTACGATCGACTAGTAGTCAAATGTCTTTGTATAGATAATTAAATATTTATTCATCATTTTCATTGATATTAAATGAATGATTATTTTCTTTTTTTACATTTGATACTGATGACCATGATGTATCATTAGTTGACGTTGGATATGGATGATGATTATGACCATTATTTGTTGCATTAGCTTCAAGTTTAACATGTGGATCATTAAGTGATTTAAAATTATTTTCTTTTTTCCATTTCATTCGACTAATGTAAAATAAAAAATAAAAGAAGAATGAATAAAACAAAAAAAAAACAAAAAAAATATCTTGATTTATTCTTACCGATTTTGAAACCAAATCTAAACAAGAAAAATAAATACGAATAGATTATTATGAAATAATCAAAAAGATCTCTTATTACTTTAATTTGTCGTTCAGTTAATGCAAGACTATAAGCAATTTCAACTCGTCGTCGACGTGTTAAATATCTATTATTATCATTGTTTATAAATATAAAATTCAAAGAAAAAAAATAATATTCTTTTTCTTACTTCGTGTAATGAAATTCTTTTTCTAATTCAAGTGTTTGATGACGTGTATAAGTTTGTCGAGTACGTTTATGTTCAAAATTAATTTCTATATAAAGAAAAAAAAAACCATGACTTCTGAAGGAATATTTTCAACCGATCAGTTGCTTTTGAATTTGAACTCAAAACATAAGGTAAAGTCCAGTGAGCTATGAACACATTTCAAAAGGATAAATGCTCTTGGGTAATCTGTCCAGAGTTATAGGCATTTTATTAGAATTTTAGTTTCAGACATGGTAAATATCAACAACTCGAATAACGGTAGTTCGACCTGAGATTTTTCCTAAAGACAAGTCTGACTATTAGTAAAATGCTCTGAAAATTTCAGCTCAAAAGAATATCTCCTTCCCGAAGTATTAAAGTTCAAAAAAAAAAACAGATCAGAGCACTCTACTGACGAATAGACTTGTCTATGGGCTAAAACTCAGATCAAACTACCATCATTCGAGTTGTTGGTATTTACCATGCCTCAGGCTAATACCTATAACTCTGGACAGATGGCCTAAGAGCACTTATCCTTTTAAGTGGTTTCATATCTCACTGGACTTTACCTTATGCGTGTTGAGTTCGAATTCAAAAGCGCTTGATCAATTAAAAATTTTCTCTCATTAGTGTACTAATCATAAACAAACAACATCATGATAGAGATGTTAATCATTTCTATGTGTTACATTTATGTCAAAATTTTCCATACGTTGTCAATAAATCATTTGGTTTTTTTTTCTCTTCTTTTTCTCTTAATGAACTTCTATTAATACCTGGTCTCATCCATGAATGTGCATAATAAAGCATTGGATTTGTAACTGACATAGAAAATGTTGATGCTGATGATGGTATCATATTATTAACTGTTGATGATATTGGTTCAGTTTGTTTCCATGTTGATGCAGCACAATTTGATGTTGATAATAAATAATCATTTGCTGATTGATGTTGTTCAAAATGATATTGTTGATGATGAGATATATCTGTTTGTAACATATTTAAATTTGAATAAGTATTCATACGTGTTGGATCTTTAGTTATTAAACGAAAATTTCCACGATTATAATCTGTTTCATATATTGATTGATTATTATTATTATTATTGTTATTATTCATTGTTGATGATAAACCGAAATAAGTATTCATTGTCGTTTTTTTTTCTTTTTATAATGAAGAGAATTCAATAATAATATAGTTCATAAAAAAGAATTCACATATATATATAAATTTGAATCAATAAAATTAATTTCAAATAGTTAGATTCATAAAAAAGATGGACATATTTAAATGATAATTGAAATGATTCTTAGTACTTTTAGAAGAAAATAATATTGCTTGTTAGTTTCTTTTTTTCTTTTCAGTAGTATTATTGTGAATGAATATTTTCCAACCATTCGTAATTCGAGAAAAGAAATTTTTCTGTTCAACCAATCAATATCTTTCTTATGTTTAGTAGGCAATTTTGTATATTTTCTCGCTTCTTTTTCTTTTTTTCCTTCCCCAAAGAACGATTACTCATCTTATCATTACTCATTGAAGGTCTATATATAGCAGATAGAGAATATATACACTGTCCTATCATCGATAGGTACGTGCCAATAGACAACTACCTTTGAAGAAAAAAAAAGAAAAGAAACGTATTGATTGCAAGACTTATTTCTGTTCTCTATATTGAGATTTTTAAAGTACCACTTGACATTAAATAATCTAATCATCGGTCACTTGGCTTTTTGAAAAACAAAAAAAAAGAAAACTTGATATTTTTTCTCGCACATTGCTATATGTAATAAGATCAAATATTTTGTATATAAGAAATAAAATGATGAAGATTTTCAAATTGTTAAATTTATTCCATTGAATCATAAATACTAAAAAACAAAATCACATCGCTTGATCATTAACAAAGTGTTCTATTTAATGAGAATTTGATGACATCGATGGAACCGACAATTGTTTTAGTTTGATCATATTGTCATTGATGTTTTCCTTTTTTTCTTCTATGTATATTACTTACTGCATTTGTTTTGATCGATGAAGTGTATAGACTCCATTACAAATGATATAATCTTATTAATGACGACATGAACACGTAACTATTAAATACGAGTGTTCCAAGGTCACCAAGCTTGGAGAAGGAGAGATTGACCGTTGTTGCGGAGATTTGAGAGCAAAACAAAACGAAAATTTTCTAAGTTTGCGGAAGTCACGTTTCTCGTGCTCGAAACATCTCTGCTATTAAAGATACAATTGTTTTTCTTCTCTTATCGATGAAAAAGTTGAGTTTCAAAATACGTAAATAAATTCATAATTTTTGATATACCAATATACTATATAGGAAAAATTATTGTATAGAATTAATATTGTAGACAATGACAAACCTGTTTTGAAAAAAAAAAGGGTAAAATAACACGAGATATTTGTTCCATTTGGTTATATATTCCAAACAAGATCTAATAGAATGTGTTCCGATATTAATCGATATCTATATTACAAATAATGGAATATATTTATATATGATTATCTTACAATTACACTAAACTTTAGAAACTTCTCTGTGTATATATTACCTGAATGCAATCGAAAAATTCTATGTTATGATATCTCTGATCGTTGAGAACAGTATGAAGACAAAGTTTGTAGTGTGTACAATAAAAAAAAAACATTGAGAGAAAATAAAGAGAACGAAATAGCCTCCATAAAAATAAAAATATCATATTATTAAACAATATAAATGCATTATTGTAGTATGTCACTAATAGATTTATATTTAAATAGAATTTTTTACAAGAAGTATTTATTTCTAAGAATAAAATACAATTGTTTATCAATGTTTAGATGATTTATAAAAGGTTTTTCTTTTATGAGTCTTTCATCTGTTTCTTATTCTTTGCTGTTGTCCTTTTAGCATTACTTCTTTATTTTTTTTTTATAGTTTTTTTCACACATGTGCACAATCATTTGGTCTATGCGCTCATTGTCGGTCAAATGCAGAGGATTCGACACTTTTCAACTGCTGTTGCCGTTCAATGGCCCTATTAAACTTTTCCATTCATGTCCGTTTGATCAATCAGATGATAGTAGTCTATTTATTCATTTTTCTCCATAGGGAAGTGCTTGTCCATTATTGGCAATATATATATATATATTCTTTTTTTTTTTTGATGGAACATATGAACAGTCAACAAATGAAAGCTATCTGATTGTTTTATTTCTTCTATCTATCGGAATGTATTACGTGTGCGAGATAAAAACCAATTTTATTCTTTTAGAATCATCATGATAATAATTGAGTTTCGAAAGGATTGTCATACGAATAACAAATCAATCCAGATGGTTTTTTTTTGTATTATAGATTTTTCTTGTTTTTTTAACAATCATTGTTGTCGTGATGATTTCTAATTACTCTTAGTTCATGTGCGTGTGTATGATGGCCATAAAACAAGGTGAACTTATTGTATACAGATGTATACAAAAAGGCTAAATAATTCGACAAATGTGTATGAGGTGTGACATATAATTCGTTCTCTTGGGATGCGCATCGTTTGTCGTGGATGAGAAGTATAAAAAAAAAAAATCTATCAAAAGAAAAGAAAAGCTCCTATTTAATGAGCCTCATTTGAGCATTATATGATATTTTAACGACAAAACAGTTACGTCATACATATATAAAAAGAAATTTATTGTGACTATACCAATTGTTGACCGAAATGTATGTAAGAGTAAAATATTGATTGGTTAAAAGTGTATATCAGTTTTATTTTTTCTTATTAAAGAGTATATAATATCGATTTTTGAGATTGTTGTCATATAAAATAAGAATATGATAAATCTATCAAAGCAAATTTTAATATTTTTAATACTATAAATAATCACATAACAGTCAATTAAGATAATTTAATAAATAGATTTAAGATCAAAATATGTAAGATCAACGTATTTTTTATTTTTTTTTCTACATAGGACTAGAACTCGTCGTGGTAATCCCGAGCTCGTACATTTTAAAAGTTTTTCCGCCTAGATTTTCTAAGAGCCGTAGTTCTAGTGCAACTATTTTACTATAATGTTTAGAATTATGTACAAAATTTTAGGCTTAGAAATCTCGTGTTTCGTTGTATTTTTGCATTTCTTTCAGATTAGTGATACAACATTTTCCACATGCTTTTTTAGATTCGTATGAGAATACTTTCAAAGTATAATTTTATATGACTAGTAGATTGACTTTACTTGCAAAGAAAATTGTATTTGTGTAATATGAGTTTATAGGAAGTTAACACGTTCAGATCGTATACTAATCAATGTGTTTCATTAATTTCAATAGATCAGTTTTCAGCATTGAAGATATAACTGGAGGAACTTTTAATGTTGTTCAAGCAATAATTGAAACTGATTTTCATTGAACATAGGAACAGATAGAGGAAACTTCACGTATAATTTTATCAGTAGTTATTTCTCTTATACTTGTCTGTTTAAAGTTCTACAAAGTTTTGTGTTTGAGGACTGATTTGTCAACTCATTGATGATTGAAAGTAATTTTATATTCAATTAAGTCGTCATTGACTGAATAGATTAGAACGGATCAATTTCAATCTTGTATTCGACATTATCACTAAGGATAATAGAACTAGTCGAAAGTTGAATCGTATTAAGCATAGACCATTGAAACAAAAGGCCAGACAAATGAAATGTGCCAATTTTTTTTTTTACAAAATCTAGTTTTACCAAGTCCACACTATTAGCATTGGACATCGATGGAGCTGCAACAGGATACCATATGAAATCTGATATTGAATTCAGCGTTGTCAATGCAATGTTAGCTGTGCTAAATAAAGGCAGAAATATCCTCGCAAAAGACGATCTGAAAAAAAAGTTACTTTCATAATTTCCTTTAATTGAATGCACAAATGAATTGTTCATTAGTGGCAATACTTTAGGAAACAACACTAGAATCAATTATCGAATAGCTGTCTAAAGAGCAAGTAAAAAAACTTCTAGAGTGATCTTCGTAAGATACTAACTATTCAACTCAAATCTCAAAAGTGATTTTAATAGCCAATGAAGTTCTCTATCAAATGCATTCTATATCGAAATTTCATTGAAGGACTATGGGAGACATGTTTCTGAATAAAATGAGAGATTTCCACATTTCCTACGATCTTCCTTTGAAATGCTTATAACTTTTTAAGAGACGGTTGTAGGAAATGTAGCAACCACTCATTTTATTCAGGATTTTGTGATCTTTAAGATGGCGTTCTTAAAAACTAATCTTGATACAGTCTTCTGAGACCTGAAAACTACCGTGTTTGGTTTTTCAGAAACCTTTCACTCATAATCCATTCATGAAATTTTGCTGTGAAATGCATTTAACAGAGAACTTCATTAGTTGATCTTATATTTTTGATCAGTAATGTTGTTTATAAAAAAGAACGTTTAACAGAAGAAATTTCTAACTGACGAGATTTTGTTTCTTTAGGAATCTATTATTTATTTTTTTGGGAAGTTTTCTTAAAAAATTTAAAAAAAAACAAATCCAGACATAGCTTGTTTTTAGTCGTTCTTCTAAGAAATATAATTAAAACATTGGTTGTAATTGGATATTCTCGTGCGTAAATATTGTTTTTAACTTCAATTTAAAGTAAATCCAATCAAAAAAAAAATTCATTTAATTTGCCATTCAGAATCTATAGTTATTTATATTAAATCTTCGGAATCTTTAATAGATTTTGAAGACTATTTGGATATATACTTTTGAATGATATCAAAATCAAATAATGATATTTATCCAAAACAGAAAACAAGAGATTTCTTTATTGACAGAGAAATCTTAATTCCAACCGTTCGTTTTACACGAAGGAAAATAAATAAACAAACAAACAAACAAACAAATAAATTCAAGTTGGCACTGATGTAGCAATCAAAGCAATATTTTCAAGTGTAATATTTTTTGATGTATATACTTTAAGATGAGCATTAAATCCATTTTTATTTAAATATTCAATTCGACCCCAATCTAAAATTCGTTTTGCTTTTAAACCAATTTTTTCTTGTTGTTCAATAGAAAATAAACGTTGTTTGGAATAAGGTGATCGATCTGTAGATATTGGCGAAGTAGATTGAAGTGAAATACCATCTAAATGAAAACAAAAACAAAATACATAGGACACTACAAAAGTTTTTTTTTGTATCTGGTCCTCGTAAAATTTGCACAATGTCTTATTCTTATATTTCTTATAGATAAGTCATACGTTAGTTTTCAAATGACTCATGAAAATGATCTCGAAATATGATAGAAAATTGGTTCAATGTACACGGAAAGCCATACCTACTTAGTATAGGCATGGTGGAATCTAGAAGTTTTGGATCGAATAGTTCGTAATAGGCTTTATTGAATTTCACCCAAGGGGGAACAAACTGATTTCTAGTTTAGAAATCAATTGGAAATCACTGGAAATCACTGGAAATCACTGGAAATCAATTGGAAATCACTGAAAATCACTGGAAATCACTGGAAATCACTGGAAATCACTGGAAATCAATTGGAAATCACTGGAAATCACTGGAAATCACTGGAAATCACTAGAAATCACTGGAAATCGCAAGATGATTTTCTGGTGATTTCTAGTGATTTCTGGGGATTTCTGGTGATTTCTAGTGATTTCTGATGATTTCTGGTGATTTCTAGTGATTTCTAGTGATTTCTGATGATTTCTGATGATTTCTGGTGATTTCCAGTGATTTCTTTGATTTCTCTGATTTTCAGTGATTTCTAGTGATTTCTAGTGATTTCCAGTGATTTCCAGTGATTTCCAATGATTTCTATGATTTCTGACGATTTCTGTTATTACAAACCAGTTTTTTTGACCCTTCCGAGAAATCACTAGAAATCACCAGAAATCACTGGAAATCACTAGAAATCACTAGAAATCACCAGAAATCACTAGAAATCACCAGAAATCACTAGAAATCACTGGAAATCAGAGAAATCAGAAATCAGTTTGTTCCCCCTTGATTTCACCTAAGAAAATAATCGGTGTGCAACTTTCGAGACTCCGCGAATAAGAAGCGTAGTCGAATATTTGACTGTTATAAAACAATTCACGAACAGTCGAAATTCATGGAAATAAAATTTCAAACACGTGCATCAGGCCATTTTTTCTACGAAATATAGTCTAACAAAGTCCATGTTAACGGACTACTCAGCTCTGAACATTTTGGACTCTGAAGAAATTTTCCGAACAAAATTATATGAAAGTATATGTTAATCGAGCATATTTCACAGATTGAAATTCATCTGAGTCCTTTCTACTGCTAAAATTGAAATATCCGCTATACAAAACAAGACTCAACGACAACAATCCAATGTTACACATGCTTTAATGGTACACCTCCTCTTTAGGGGACTACTTCTAGTTCTCCGCGAGAATACAATAGATTGGGCGCTCAAATTATCATCATAGCTAGATTATCGAAAATCATGAAACCAATATTTGAGGAAAAAAAAGTTTTTGCGCTAATGCTTCTCGTATTTTTCTAAATAAAAGTCGAGCAATTGATATTTTTTCAAAATGCTTAAAAATAACTCTGGGATTTCGTTCCGAGTACCTCCGAAAAAAATTCCAGCCAGATCGAACAAAGTGAGACGAAGATCACAAGCAGATCCGATGGTTTTTGTAAGTCCCTTCAAAACCTCCTTCAAGATCTATTATTAAAATTTTTTCCTCAAACATTGCTCCCATTATTTTCGATAATCTAACTGTAGTAAAAATTTGAGCCCGAGTGGAAAATTAGAAGTAGTGCCTCTTGTAATTATTAAAACAAATTTTATTTTAATTTACCAATTGTTGATCGTTTTCCATCTTGTGGCATTCTATGACGATTTTCACTTGTACACCATGATGTCAATGCTCGTATTAATGAAAAATCTTTTGGTGTTAAATTTAATCGATAAAAAAAATCTTTTCCAATATAATCATTCCATAATAAACGATGATGACAACATAAAGCAATAATAATAGCTCGAATATTATGACAATTTTGTTGAGCATTAACAGCACAATGTAAAGCAAGATCAGTTGCACCACCACATAAATGCTTACTTATAATAACAACACATTTTTCTAAATGATTATTTTTTATAGAAGGTAATTCTGATAAATAAAGATCACGAATATCAAGTCGATGACGTTCAAATGATGGACCTTGTTGTTCACGACGATGATGTGCATCATAACGATAACGTTGATGATCACGTTCAATAAGTATAAAATGAACTGATGATTCTTGTTTTAAACAAGCATGAAGTTCATGAGATAATTGACCACGTCCAGCACCCATTTCAACAAAACATGTATTTGCTTGAAGAAGATTTAATTGAACTAAATGAGCTATGAGTGATCCAATTTGTTGTAAATGTTTACGTGAACGATTACCAAGTTCATTAACATTTACATTTGATAAATAACAATCAAGATTTGTTTGATTATTTTCAAGAGGTTCTTTAACAAGATTATCATGTATTGTTTCCATACGAATAATAAATTCTTGAAGTTCTTCATCAGTTATATCTTGTAAAATTGTTGGATAATCATCATGATTATCACATTCAAGTCCAGAATTACAATTAGGTCGATGAAATGGACCTAGAATCATAGGACGTTGATTACATTTACGAATATGTCGTTGTAAATCATGTGGTGATATCGAATGTAAAGGATTTAATGGACATGGAATACGTAATGAATTTTTAGTAGTCTAAAAAAAAAACAACATTAGTTTTTGTTTGGTTTGTTTAGTTGAAAGATAAAATGAAAAATATAATCTAATATTCTAATTTTATTAAATAAACTTTACCTAGTTAATATTTTAAGAAAACTTTTCATAGCATCTTCATGAAAAATTTACAAGATTCTTTCATAAAAACTCGCCTTTATTTGTCATGATTATAGATGCGTCGGATCAAAGTTCAGAATTTTACCAGGATCGCGACTACAAGAAAAAAGCTACTCTGACTGAAACTAGAGTTATACTTGATATTTGTAAATAAAGACTAAACGAAACATTGCATAACAATTAGACATCTCAAAAAATAAAAAAAACTTATTCAAAATCTAGCAGTTGAGTACTTTGAACGATGAATATTGATGTTTATTTTTCTTTATTAACTAAAAATTAAGAATGATCCTTTTGAAAATATAACTTCGAAGAACTTTGTAAAACTAGAGACACATTAGAAGCTTCGAGATCTTTTATTATCTCTCTGAAAGAAATTCTCTGTTTGATAGTCTCAAGAATTTTTACTTTTTTGACATTCCTCTAATGAAAAAGAAACAGATAATACAGCGCATCTCAATCAAATTCCCTAGATTTTACTACATCGCTTGATATATTAATCATAAATAACACATAAAGTTCAGAGAACATAATAATACATTAGAAAAAAAGATTGCATTGGTTTTTACAATAAGAGTAAATAAAATATGAATTTTACTGTCTTACCTCGTCTAAATCCGGATCATAAAGTATATGTTCCATACAATACATAGATAAAGGAGTAGGAGGTAACATTTTACATTGTCGTTGTTTTCTTGGACATACATATTGACATCGATTAGGAACTTTTTCATCCGTCATTATCTAAAACAATGGAAAATATTATTTTGATTTTATTCAATTTTTCGATTCATTTTTAAAAATAAATGTATCAAATGAAAGATCAAGTTCATATTCATCATCAAATATATTAAGACATTTAAATATTCTAAAACAAAAAATTCAATATATTCTATTATTTATTTTCTTACTCCAATCGAAGATCATCTAAAACTGTACTTTCTGGATATTGTTTTAGGAAATGTTGAGATCCAGATTGTGATACTACGTAACCTAATTATCTTCGATTGATTTTACCGAATAAAATCAATTGATGAAAGTGGAATATGAAATTTTTTATTTCGATAACGACAACAAAAAGGAGGAAGATCAAACCAATGGACTACGTCACCTGATATACTTAAAGTTAATGATGAATCTACATGTGGAATGTCATTACTGATAAGAACTCTACAAAATAAAAAAGTTTTTTTTTTTTTGAATTATCAAATATTTTATATAAATCAAAATACTTATAATTAATGTTTGAATGTGTATTATTTTTATTTACTTTGTTTATTTGATATTCACTAATATCATAATTTAGGAAAAAAGATAACGACTACAATTTGAGTAAGATTGTACTTTGACCTGTTCCACAATCGATATCTATAGCTAAATCGTCATCACATATAGTGTACTATTATACATATACGTATATATAGCTAAACTAATTTATTTTTATTTTGAGAATATTATACTTTAAGAGATAAATAATTGAGAATTCTATTTATAACATCAGGAGGATATGTCGGTCGATATTGTGTATAAAAGTCACTGTGCGCAGTAGTTTCATAAAAATGTGTTTGACATGTCTAAAGTAAATAATTTATCTAGATTCCTCGTTATACTAATTTACTATTTATTTATTTTGATTTCATTTGAATAAATTTTAGCAATAATTCTTTTTATCATTTCTTTAATATCTATAATCATGAATCGATCAGTAATATGTTCAATTCTTGATTATAAACATGAAAGTATAATTAGTCATTCTAGATGTATTTCTTTCAAATGAAAGAATTTATAATTATTTTCGATCATTTCATTCATCCTATAAATTAGCGCTATGTGCAGAATAAGTGTTTATCGTACCCTAAGCTACAAGATAAAGTAAGAAACGATTAAACTGCAATTTTTACTATATATATTCCTCTTACCCTGTGCTCAGTTTATTCTAAATCTCACCCACCTTGCTCAGTTCCACTATAAATCATTTATAGTATTATATTGATAAACAAGACTTACTCAATTTTGTTGCATAAAATTTTTTCATTCAATAAAAAGTCTGTACAATCAGTTAGACAGAATTTTATTATACTGTACATAGAAAAAGAAAGATAAAGAACAATTGAGATCAAAATAACGAACTTACCCTATACTATTAATTAAATAAAATAAAATAAGATTAGATACTTTTTGTCCATTCAATATTCTTTAAAATCAATAACGTTCTTTTTTTTTAATAATAAGTTTCTGTATTAGCAAATAACAACATTGAACAAAATAAAAAGTTTTACACAACACACTATAAAATAATTAAGTGTTCGTTTCATTGTCACTATCCGTATCATGATTTTGCACTTGTACTCGACTCTGATAAACAACAAAACAAATCATATATTAAATTTCTTATTCGTTTTTAATTAACTTACAGATAGAACATCAGCTAATTTATTAAAATCGCGTTCTCGAGATATATCAGCAATATCTTTTGGTACTGCATATTGTGTATAACTATTTGGTTTAATACCATTTTGTGAACTAACATAACGAAATTCAGGCTTTTCATTGTTATTCTACAAGAAATTGAATTTTAAAAAAAAAAGAAATAAAAATCAAATAAAGATATTTTACTTGTAATGATAAAGTCAATATATCAGGCCAATCAAACAATAAACTATCGGTCATTGGACCCCATGGATTAAAATCAATGATATATAATTTATTCTGAAAACAAAATATGATTTCATTAAGTTGTTATTTATAACAAAAAAAAAAGAAATATTTACAGAATCTTTACGATAAATATCAACAACATAATCACTAGATGGAAATTTATTTTGAATATGAGTGTTAAAAAATTCAACTATATTAGTAATGATTTGATCAGCTACTGGTTCAATAAATTCATAATAATTTTCACTATCACGTTGACTAATAGCTATAATAATATTAATATTAATGATGAATAATTATTTAAAAACAAGGGCCCCCCTCAGATTTAGTTATATGTGATCTTGCAGAGCAATTGGTGGCACATCGAATGGTATATAAGAAATCAAGATCTATGAAAATTTTGATGTGTTGAAGGTGGTTATAATCCTTGAGGAATATATATAGTACTTAAAAGACATCGTGGCCCCTAAGATAAACTTATACATATTGTGTTTTTAAACTCAATTCGATACAGTTATGGATGTTCTTCAATAGTTTTCATCATTCTCTTCTTCATATTTTAACATGGTTCTTTTTCTTAGGTCTAAACTATATGTTGACTATATAGCATGCCAGTGTACTCAACTTTGTACCCCGGAACAAATGAGCATCAACTTGAAACTTTCTCAAAAATTGCATACTATCGAGCTGCATACGTTTCACACATAAAATCTTTCGGAACAACAACGACTCATTGTCAACTTGCAAGACTGTTCCTTAGTGATGAACCGATGTAAATAATTCCTTCATAAACACTAAAAAAATTTCTTGATCTCGGAACTCCTTGATTGGAAGGTACGAGTATAGATCTGTTATTTTTATTGCTCCTTCAAATTTTTGTTTCGAGCATCCCTGTTCGATCTATACATTAAACTCTACAAGAATCTATAAATATTTGATGTTTATTTCAAAAATAAATTTTTCCATATCTTTGCAACTGCCTTTACGGTTGGGAAACCAAAAATTTTTTCTTTTTATAAAGAAGTTATTTATATCAGTTCATCAGGAATGCTATGCTAATTATTGATACATAAAAATTATCAATAGGACCATTGAATATTATTAAAATATCATCAATATAACAGTTCTTTCATATGGGAAAATAAGTTATTCTATGAGACAAAGAGCCCTGCTGTTCCGAACGATGTTATGTGTGAAACATACAGATCAATAGTGTGCAATTTTTGAGAAAGTTTCAAGTTGGTATTCACGTGTTCTGTAATATAGAGTTGAACAGACTAGAATATCATATAGACAACAAATAACCTAGATCCTAAGAAAAGGGACCATTTTTACGTATGAAGAAAGCAACGATGAAAACTACTGAAGAACACCTATAACTGTATCAAATTGAGTTTAAAAACAAAATACGTATAAGTTTATCTTAGAGACCACAATGTCTATGAGTATTCTATATATTCTCCAAGGATTATAATCACCCTTACCAAATGAAAATTTTCATAAATCTTGATTTTTTATACCCTATTCGATGTGTCGAAAATTGCTGTACAAGACTACATACATGATACCCTGATTCAGGATAGGTCACTAAATCTGACAAAGTTCTTTTTCCAAATATTTTCATTAATTGATTAAAACATACCAATAATTCGATGATTTTTTACAAAACATCGAAATTCTTTTGATGGTTGTAACGCTGACCATTTTCTCAGTACAAGTACATATTGAATTGTTGATAATAAATTATCAGTATCATCATAACAAAATTTAAATCTATGTCATAAAATGAAAGTAAAACAAATAATAACCAAAAAAGAAAAAGAAGATTTCTTTATTTACGGTTCACAAATATCATGTGTAATAAAATCAGAACTTTTTAAAAGTAGAAATATATCAGCTAAATTCATACATTTTAATCGACTATCACTAATCATCCATCGAGCATCCTATATAAATAAAAACATTTCATGATAATTTATCATAATTTACAGATGATTGGAAAACTTTAAAACAAGATATTTTGTTCATTTTTGACTCGTCTATTGAACTAAGTTATAGCTTTTATCCAAGTTTTTTTTCAAGAGCTCCTTTCAACGTAAAATGTTTGTCGATTTTTCAAAAATGAGTATTTAGGAAAAACGAAAATTGACATGCTTTTTGTTCTAGCGTTTCGTTTCCAATTGCAATAATTAAAATACAAAAATTATCTGTCCAAACTAATTTTTAGGCTTGCCAAAGATTATTTAACTACTTTCCAACGAAATATCTACGTTTAAAAATTTTCCAATCATTCATTATGTATATTACTTTTGGACTACTCCAATTTAATTTTGGAAATACAGCATTATATTGTTCTAGTACATTTTTTATTTGTTGTTCAAATTCTGGAAATGAAATCTTAAAAATATTTTCATTATAATTTTATTAATTAAAATTGTTAAATCAAACTTTATTTGTTGTATCATTATCAGCATCTTCATCGGACCACTATCAAAATGAAAAATAGAAATAATTATATATTAAATAACTCATACATGATCTTCATCATCCGATGATTCAGTATTAAGTCGACGCATTTCATCCATTGCTTCATTTGCACTGAAATATTCAAATTGAAAAATAATATAATAAACAAAAATAAAAAAAAAACAAACCCAGTTGGTAGATAAAATTTATCGGATCGAAGATATTGCACGACATCATCAGTCAATTTAAGAATAACACTAAATTAATATAGTCATTGATTTATTTGTAAAAGAAAATGTTTTTCTTTTTTAATTATTACCTTTTAAAAGAATGTTTTTCAAATATCGGATACCAAACTGGAAAAGAACAATTTAAAACATCTTGAACACTCACACGAGGAAGATCAGCAGTCATATTGACTATCTAAAAAAAAGAAAAAGAATCGATATATTACAAATTATTTTCTATTGATCACTTCAACAAAGCATTCATATAATGTTTTGGAAAATAAATATTCAAATAATTAACTGTAGACTATTCATAAACACGACCATTCATTTTTTGGTTCAGGAGCCGAAACAATCTTATTCATTCCGTATGATTGGAACCAGACAAAAACCGTTCGTAAACCCTTCGCTATATCGGCAACCAACCGACGATAGGTGAATAATTAAACGATTGGCTAACCTCTCGTTGCTAGTCTATCGCGATATAGATGGAAACAAATAAATTTTAACGGAATGTTGCTGTTTATACTCTTCTACTTTATTACAGAATTTTGGATGAGCCATAAATAGTATTAGGATAAAAAATTGAAATATTTCCACTTCAGTTCATTCAAATGGACTGATTTTTTTCATTAGTCGTAGAAGTTTATTTAAAGAACTGTCAAGTTATATTTTTGACTTCATTTATAGAGCCCGTCAGATTAGTCTCGAACCCGGTGAGCTCTACTCACTAAAGGAATTTCACTTGTTATCAAGTAAGGAAAACACATCTGAAGCGTTTCATAGATAATTTTTAGTCGTTATCTAAGAGAATAAGAAGAAGAAATCAAAACGAACTTTATCAATGATACTATATTGATGTATATAGGACAAGTTTTCAAAACTAGTCTGTTTAAATTTGTGTCTTACTCAAGCTCTTTGGACATCAACTAACTTGCAAAAGTCAATGTTTGATATTTGAATAATTCAGAATTTTGGAATTATTGATTTTTAAACTAAATAGTTCTAATAATTTGCTCCTTATGCATCAATCTACTATCATTTATAAAGTTTATTGTGATTTTTTCTTCTTATTCTCTTAGATGACAACTGAAAGTTATCTATGAAGCGCTTTAAACATATTTTTCTTACTTGATAATAGTTGAAAGTTCTTTAATAAGGAGAAAAATATAACGTGACCATAGTATTTGTTTACATTATTCGTACGAAAAACAAAACTTTAAATAAGCTTCTACCATTAACCAAAAAATCTGCTCATTCGAACGAATTAAAAATGAGATATTTCAATTTTTTATCGTAGCTTCTTATTAATACCTCACCCTGTAGATAGTGGTACGAAAAGAAATGAATGAAATATTACATGACCTATTTAAGGAAAAATCTAAATCTACATTTTTTTTCCTTGTTAAAATCATACTTCTTCTTCTTGTCAATTCAGATATTTATTAAAACTAATATCTGATGCAATAATTGAAATTTTCAATTTTTCTTACACAGCTAAGTCTTGCCTTGGCCATAGCTTATTAATATTATTGGTTAAAATTTCATTCAATCACATTCATAGAATAATTTATAAATATTCAAAATAAATTGACTTATTTAATTTCGAAAAATTTATTTATAAAATTTCTTTTTCATGTGAAATTCAATTTTATTGCTAAATACGTAATAACTGCAATCAATTAAAAATATCAAGGTATTGAATCATACACATGTTGTCATCGTATAGATGACACCTGTCTTAGTACTCATTTTTTTGTTTTTTTATTCGCTATCTATTTATATAAACAAAACAATTTATATTTTTATTGTATAATTTAGTAGCATGACTAAGGATAAACAAATCTGGACGCTACTCTACTATCAGAAGAGTGAGAAACACAACAGTCGCACTCATTGACACCATATTCCATAAATTTCTCTACAAGATAATAGAGTTCTGTCTCATCATCCGTGATGTTTTGGTTACGGTCATTAATATAATTTCTATTTTTAAGTTTTAGAAAAACTGAAAACATGAGTTTTCAATGGACTTTTCTTGCAACATTTCTCTATTGTGAATTGATTGTTGTTATTATTTTACTTTTACCATTTATTTCACCAAGAATGTACGTATGTTAAAATAATAGTTTCTATCGATATTACAATGTAATTCTATTTTTATTTTTTTTTCAATTTTTAGTTGGCAAAAATTTTTTAATTCAAGACTTGCTAAAGCATTTACAGCTGGAGCTAAATATTATTTTAATTTTATTATATGTGTTTTTGGTTTACTTTTTCTCGGTAACAAAAAAAAACAAAAAAATATTTTTATAAATTTTTTTTGTTTATATTTTTTTATATTTCTATAGATTCAATTCGTGAACTTCGTAAATATGCAAATGTTGATTCGAAAGATTTATCAATGCCACATGCTGAAGCTCATGCACGTATGAAACAATTTCGTTCACAAAGAAATTTTTATATTGCTGGTTTTGCTCTTTTTCTTTGGTTGTAAGTAAAAATTATATTTAATCTATTAAATGATGATCTTTTTTTTTTTTTTGTTTTAGTGTTATTAAACGTTTAATAAATCTTTTAGTAGCATGTGCTCGTGAAATGAGTGCAGCTGCTGAAGCACATAAACAAGCTGAAGGTGCAACTCGTCATTTAGAAGGAGTGATGGCTAAAGATCCAACAGTAAAATTTAAAGAAAATGAAGCAAAAAAAAAACAAAAACTTTATTTATTATTTATATATTTAGAAAATTGATCCACGAGAAATTATAGCATCACCTAATAATCCACCACGATATGTTGAGGCAAAAGAACATGAATTTGAAATTAAAAAATATAAGCAAGGTTTGTTGAAAATCAAAAAAGAGACAAAGATGTTTGAAAAATAAAATCTTTATTCTATTTTTATAAATTTAATAGAAATAAGTAAAGCAAAAGAAGATATTGATACATTACGTAAAGAATATGAGCAATCAATGAAAAAATATAATGAACTTCAAGATGAACACCAAAAATCACAAGTATATTAATATAATTTCCTAAATTTACAAAAAGAACAAAAAAAAGCTTTTCTTTTTTTAGATTCAATTAGCTAAGTTATCTGATAATGAATCATCAAAAGACAAATAAAACAGTCTATTCTCTTTTTTGCTTTTAAATTGTAGAAAGTTCTTTTTTAATATATATTTTAGCTTTTATATAATAATTCTTTTTTTTTTTGTCTGGTTTTTGATTTCATTCTCTTTTTTTTAATATTTAATCAAGATATACGTATGTGATTAAAATAAATTAAACAAGCTGAAAATATTACTTTCGGTGATCAATAAATGGTAACAAGGTTTTTTTCAACATTATTTTTATATTTTTCTGTGTGACAATTATCGATCAGTACAATATGCACTATACTGGCTACTTTTTCTTTTGAAAGTATTGTATCAAAACTAACGGTAGTACCAGAAATTTTTGTCAGGATGGACTCAGATTCTAAATTCTAAAAATGTCAAAAGATGTAGTGAAAGTTTGTCGAATTTTTTGACTCGTTAAGAATGTTACTATCACAATCCAATTTTTTTTCAAATAATATTTAAATTAGGCTCTTCTTGTTTTTTATATGATAAATAATTTTTTTTTTGTCCCAATTATATATAATTGAGATAGCGCATGTTGTATCAAATCAATATCTTTTTGTTCAACACTTTCTTGCAGGTATTAAGTCCTGAAGTAGTAAAATAACACATCGCTGACATTTCATTTATTAGACGAAAAGTGACGACAATGATGATAATAATAATATACATCATTTTGTGCGAAATTTTTCAACCATATTTTATCATTACAGCAGCTGTCGAACCACAACATTTCTATAGTTCATCGAGTACGCATTTGACTTTTATACTTAGCATGTTTTTTGTTATAAAAATATCTGCACTTTTAGGTCATGATGTTATAGAGAACGGTGAGTTGTTAGAAATTTGTTTAAACTATGCTAGAAAGATCCATGTCTCGACATGATACAAACTTTTTTTGAATCTTCAATATGAGTTTCCATTCATCTTCAGTAAATTCCGCAAAACGATCACTTTGACCATTTGGCCTCCATCTTTTACTTAATATAATTATAAAATTGGTGAATTAATCTACAGCGAATACGTATCTCACCAAACAAGAACAGTAGTGGACGATTGGACCAATCAATTTGGAAATTGTTCTCGTTTAAGGAGAAATGAAAAAAAGGAATATAGATAGGGTAGTCAAAAAGTTCTGTCATTTCGCTATATCTATACAGAGAAACGACATTTCATCCATCTCTTTATACCATATATGCGAGGTAGTTCTTGTGAAATTCCATGAAAAGTGTCATCCTTATAACTCACTACTGAGATGTCCTTCTGAAGTAAATAATAAGTGATAAATTGACCTCCCGATTATTGTCGAAAATTTACTAATTTTCAAGTCCCCAGATATTGGAAAAAATTCTAAGTGGTGAACAGATTTTATGTGGTACTGTGAGTGACTATCAGGCTTAGATCTACCATCGCAACATTGAATGAGAACTGTTGTCAAAAATAAGATTAGCAAGAGAAACTAGTTCTTCAAGCAACTTTTGTTTAAAAACAATGATATATGTCGATTTTTTATGACGTCGGAGTTATCATTCATCATATAGTGGTTTCTCTAGTGGCTATTAATACCATCTATATTAACTACAAATGTTCAAATTCACAAATAAAAACATTATCGATCAAACGAGTATCGGCATGATGTTCTGCTATCAGTTCCAATCATGGTTTTTTGAACAATATGTAAAATAACGTAATTATTTACTATAAAGTGGAAGGAATGAAGTTAAGGCTTGCTAAGCATACTCAGGTCGGATTAGACTTCCATAATATGAGTTGTTAAAATGTATTCAAGATTCACTAGACGATCACTAGTTAGAATAATTGAGTAGGGGTAATAACCAAGAAGGTCAATTTATTACTCATTGTTTACTTCAGAAGGATATCTCAGTGAGCTATAACGATGAAACTTTTCATGGAATTTCACAAGAACTACCTCGCATATATGGTATAAAGAGATGGATGAAATGCCGTTTCTCTGTATAGATATAGCGAAGTGACAGAACTTTTTGACTATCCTATGTAAATATATATTCCTCACCTTGAATTCACCACAAAGAAATACTTCAGCGAGAAGAAACAGAACGAAAGAATACAAGTATATATCTACCAATCTCTATTCGACGTCCTATTTTTCATTCTTCACTCGTTCCTGTTGACGTTAAAATGGATAAAGAATTTCTGCTAGAAATATTTACATTTCTGCTGGAGAAAATTCATTTCTACTAGAATTTCACCCAATAGTGAAAAATAATTTAATTCATTTCCATTGATACTGTAAGGATAATCTGATCGATTTCTCTTTATATCTTATACATTTCTCTTTGTGCGGTTAGATATGGTTAATGCGTTTCTAATCGAAAACATTTAGTGGTGCATTGTCTTTCGCAATGAAAAGCATTTCTGCTTGACTTGATGTGGAGTAAAGGATTTCTGCTATAAGTAGAACAATTTCTCGATTTTTGGGGATATCGTCCAGCCTTCTCATTTCAGGAAAAAAATATGATGGAATATGAAATATTTTCCATCAGAGATAAATTTGAATTCTTGGATTGTGCTCAGTCAACGCATGAAAAGAAAATGTGTTGCATTCTAGATATGTCGTGATCTATTGGCTAATCATTCATTCGCTGTTTTGTTTTGCGCATACAATGACATATAACCAAGGCGACGAAATATACTGAACCTTTACATTTTCGTAGATCTTTTTTTTCTAGGTTATTTCTCGATTTACCTTAGGTCAAGAACATATTGAGAGAACGATCGATGATCGAGATTAGATCACCTCGAAGTGATCTAATCAGGATCAAATCGACTCGAAGCAACTAGGTCTGAAGATCTCACCGTTTGATATTCCAAGAGCAGGTGCTAATAATTCAAGTTAAACTGGAAAATTAGTCATCATTCAATTTTCCAGAAAATCTCGTATAGTACCTTTATGCGTTTCACATTATGCCGCAAAATACGACACATGCGACATATTTTTTATTAGTATGAATGCATATTGTTTGCGATTGTATTGTGCCGAAAAAGTTGAAAACGAAAAAAACTGTGGATTTAGTGTTGGACAAAGAAAATCTTCCGCATACATCCTAAAGTATAAAAACAATGGTTACTTTTTCTGGTTTGAGTGTGGAAATTCTCTTTATCAACAAGTACACTCATCCACAACCACACTCTTCGAGATAATTACAATGAAGATAGAATAAAAAGTTAGCCACCAGTCTACTTGATGAGCTGATTTTGTTCATTACACCTGGAAGGACAGCTGACCATAAATAATAAATTGCATAGATGATTAAACAATAAATTGACAACGTTCTTTATTAGAAATATATTTTTATGTATTGATAGAGTGCTCGTAGTGATGAATTTTGCTATGTCTGCTTCTCAATTCCTTTTCTATTTCGATCATCGAATCGGTCCAAACCTAAATAATTCCGGTTTCTGATAAAAGCGATAGGAAAGAAATTCGTTGTTGTCAAGTGTAAATGTCTCGTGAGAAAAAGGAGTTGTTATTACTTATGGAACTATAAATAAGCACCCACTGCTCAGTATAAGAAGGTACCCATATAGATTTTACTTCCAATTTTGTTTCGAATGATTAAAAAGTTTTTCTAGAAGTCATTTATCTGTATGTATTAGAATCCAAGAATAAACATGAAATCTTAACTTTATCAAAATGTTTTGCCGACAAAGAAAGTTTTCCAACAGATAAACCTTTTTTGAGTAGAGAGTACGTAAATGATGTAGCTTCAAATGAGCTATGAATATTCTGAAAAGAGTTCGTGCTCTTAGCTTATTGCTGTCGGAAACTCGATTGTCAAATTTCAACTTGAAACTTTGCACAAAGATAGGCTTTAATGAGAATAGTTTATTGTGAAAGTTTTCGATCTTTTTGTTGTTTTCATCTTAAGAGACAGTTAGAGTAAAAGAGTATCATTTACATCGTTCATATATACCGGGAAAATTCGATGTTCTTTTTTCATCATAGAAGCAAATCAAAAGACTTGAAACTTTTAAATAAACCATTCTTATTAAGGTCTGTCTTCGTGCAAAGTTTCAAGTCGAAGTTTCTGAGGCAGAAACCACGGAATTTCTTTTTTTAAAAACATCGTAAAAATGTAGTACCTCCACAGCAATAAGCTTAGGACATGAAATCTTTTCAGGATATTCCTAGCTCCTGTAGGTCACATAGTATAGACTCAAAAGCAATTTGTCAGTTGGCATATTTCTCTCGTGAGAATAGTCATAAAATAATATAGATCCTGATGTTAATTTCAAAGATTCCAACATCGAGTCTATAAAAAGTTGAACATCTCCATACCAATATAACTGTTAATGGACATGTAGACTGAAGAAATCATCAAAAGCTCGTCAAAGATGAATTGAAAGTTGTCGCTATGCACTTCCTTGTGTTAAATGCAGTATACTGTGGGAAACATAAGAATATAGAGAGATTTAATCGTTGATATAAATCTACAGCATAGATCCAAGTAGGAACCGAAAATATTACGCAATCGCAGAGTGGGGCAAGTCAAGTTAGATTATATCTGGTAAGAAATTTTTGTTTGTTGTAAGCATCTTGTAGCGTGAAATAGATTTGTGAAGCTATAAAAACTGTCTCGTACTCTAAAAATGCTGACAAATGATCTATTTCACCTAATTTTATATATGACTTGGAAAACATCTGACTCGCCCAGATCTTTTCAATGGTTAATCAAACGAGCGAATCTTTCTATCATTAACAAACCAATGTTTTACACTTTTATTCACAAATCGACACTGTTGGAATTTATTTCGATAAATAATCTATTCAAAGCTCAATAATTCAATATATTTAAAGTAACAAAACAAGACAACGACATCATAGAGAATGAATATAAAAATTTAAATATATTAATTTCTATAACGAATTGAAAGTTTTAATTCTTTGCTAATATGAATAATGAGTATAGACTATAAACGATCTTTCATAAATTGTTTACAAGATCAGTCTGTTTGATCAAAATTCAGAAAAATAATTTTTTTCAATTACTTTGTTCTTATCTGCATCTTATTAATTATTTTCTAAATCGCAATAATAACCTTAGATAAATACATTTTCATCAATAATTATTTTGTAAAATTTTTACTATTTTATTCATTTATGTTTTATTCTTCTCCTAAATTGCAAGCATCAAGTGAACCACTCTACTATATCCGGTAATAATCATTGACAAAATTAATCATTTATTAAGATAAAAAAAAAAAATATATTTGTATACAAAAAAATAGTTATGTTCTTTTATTGATGATAATTGACAACACCTTTGATAATTGGTGTTTTCTCATCGAATACTATTATAGGATGGTTTCGCTTTGGTTTTGAACAAAACAAACAAGTGATCATCATAAGAAATAGTAAAAACACCACCACTAGTACAGCACTCGCAATCATCCAAAATCTCCATCTAAACGGTACTCGAGGTGGTATTGGTGTAGTACATCCATCCCAACATGCACAAGGACTTGTTAATTCCATGACATATTTACCAACAGATGTTTCACCAAGTACTTGAAGACGATGAGATGATAATGATGGATTACAAATAAGTTGTACAGTTAAACGTCGATTGGATGATGATGATGGATAGACAATGGCTGGAACAAGATTTTGTGTATTATTCATATTTATCCAATAAGCATTTTCTTGTAATCCGATTGTATAACTAATATGACGAGTTTTATCAACTAAAGAGAAGCAAATATGTAGAATTTCAAAAACAAAAATTAATTTAAAATTTTACTTTGACATCCGGCTACATTTTGACAACTATCTTCAGAAAATTTATAACATGGATTATAAGACCAGACAAAATTATTTGGAAATATTGATTCTACATCTTTGAATATTGGTGGACCTGTCATGCTACCAATTGATGATAAATCAATTGTACCATATTGAGAATCATGATAGTGGCATGCATCGTAATATATCGAACGTGTTGTCGTTGGTGATGTTCCTATATAATTGAAAAACAGAGATTTTATTTGAATACTTTTCATGAAAAAAAAAACCTACTAGAAGTACTAGTGCTCGTTTGTGGGCTAGTACATCCATTCCAACAAGCACAGCGTGATCGTAAATGCATGGAATAATGATTAACAGTATATTCACCAAGTATTTCAAATTCATCTTCAACAACCGTCGAACAAATCATTGTTATAGAAACTGTATTTTCACCATAAGTATATGTAAGAACAGGTGTCACGTCTGAGTCCAACGTCCATGTCGAGACACCTTGTGTTCCTAATGTAAATGAATGTTTTCGATCGGACGATACTAGAAAAAAAAAATCCAATATCAATATATTAAATAATTCATTTAATTAAAATATAATATTTATACGTACTTTGACATACAGCTGCATTATAACAACTATTTTCTGTAAATGAATAACATGGATTGAATGAATACATATAATAAGAACTTGAGGGAGATGATAAATCTCGAAAACGAGGTTGACCATTTCGTAAACCAATTGATGATAGATTAATAATACCTTTGGTTGGATGTTCAAAAATACATGAATTATCTGCTAGTATTGCACTGCAGAAACTAACGATGAGTAAAATATTAACAATTTGCATTTTATCAAATACAATGAATTTCTATTTGTTTTTGTGCAAAATAAATCTGTCTCCTGTAGTTTTTATCGAAGACGTTATCTCGTTATTACATAAAACTTGATGATAATGACATTATATAGTTTGCATGTGCTTTAGTGATAAAAAAATTTATATTTTTAAACCAGATAGAGCTATTACTAATTTTTAACAAAAAAAAAACTTGTTTTTTTTTCTTTGTCTTCAACTCTGACTGATTATCATCTACCTGTTTTTTTTTATCTAATTTTTGTAAAATAGAAAGATAGATTAGTAGTTCGAGAAGAAGTTGTGCAATTGAATATCATCTATGCTGATGGTATTTCCATTCATACTACTTTTACAATGATATCTACTGTCGATTTCAAAATAGGATGTGGGTGATTGTATGTTGAATAACTTGAGAATGGAAATATCTAGCGAGCTGCGGCTTTTACCAATAGAAAGGGGACACCGGAGCACACAAATCTATGAAAAAATTCCATTGGTCAGTAATGGACCAATAGGATGAAAGCTCACTGGACATTTTGCAGATAGCTTTTGGAACGCTTTTTTCGTTGAATTTTGAACTTCAATTAAACCATTCGATAGAAAAAATTGTTCTCTTTCGATCTACGCAAGGCCGAGATCGATAGCTTGCTCGTTTCAACAACTATAGGAAAATTCTTGAGATCCTCGAAATCGACTAGGTG